ACAAGGTCATTTTGCAACTCTCCTGCATGAAAAAAAGGGGAGGAAGGTGCTCTGTAAAAGAAGCACCACAGGGCTCCAGGTTGTGCGCACTGCTGCAGCTCACAGCAAGCTGGAACAGAGGCCAAAAGATCATGTTTCCCTATCAACCTGTTGACAAAATCAGGAATTAAAACCCCTCTGAATAATAAATAACGACAAGTGCTGTTTGACACTTTAATAGACCTTATTATCACCAGACCTCAAGTCACTTTGGTGTAATCCCTCTTGTGCAGACAAGGCAATGAGGTCTTATTTAAGAGGTCGCACAACCCTCCAGAAGGCCAAGTTAGGAGGAGAAATTAGAGCCTCTAGGTTTGCGCTAAAATGGTGAAACTCTGCAGGGGGCCAGGATTTCAGTCCCAACCCACTGCATCACTTCCAGGTTTAGCAGCAGGCACTGCAAGAGGGGAGAAACCACAGGGACAATTCCCACCTCCCAGCTTGAGCAAGCAGAAATCAATCCCCCTGCATGCAGAAAAGCCTCATTTAGCACTTAGCCATTAGAAAAAAAAATTTGTGAGAAAGAGGCATTGGTACAATTCAGATGCTCTCTGCGCCTTCAGGATTTTCCCATTCCCTCTCTCCATCCCTGGAGAAGGATGCTGGCTGCACCAACAAATGCTCATCCCCATCTCCCAAAAAAAAAGTCTGACCCCTTGGACTCCTTTTGAGCAAGAGAAGGCCGCAAGGCTTCTCAGTAAAACCATCAGTAATGAAACACCAGCACCAATGGCTACACTGGAGAATAACTGGGTGGCACACAGGGTTTTGTGAGCAACTTTAGGGGCACTGAGGGAAGCAGAGGGTAAAGGAAAAGAGGTGTCTGGGGTGGTTTCCCGAGGCAGGGGTGACACAGAGGCTGCACACCAGCCAGCACAGGACAGCCTGGCATGCCTGCATAGGAGGCTGTCAGACTTTGCACATTCTTTGATAGGTCTGTGGGTCTTCCCTCAGGGGGTCAGCATGAGACTTGGGTTAAAACACAGAGCTTTTGAAGAATTTTAATTAGGTTTTTATTACTTCTTAATTGTTCCTTTCTTTAATAAAAGCACCTTATTAAAAGAAACTGCTGTGACTGCAAGATTCCTTGGATAGGTGAATACTGCATTTCTCCCAGAGGCAGAGGGTGGGAAGAATTGACTAAAACTGTGAATCCAAAAGGGAAAAAGGAGCCTTCCTGTGTTATTATCTCTACCAACATCAGCTCTGGAACTGGGCCAAGCCTGGGACCCAGATACCTGCAAGGTGCTGCAAGAAGAGGCCCCTCGCTCTGTGAGAAGTTGCAGCCACTCGTTACAAACCCAGCTCCAACCCCAAGCCTGGTGGAAACTCAGAGTTTTAGCAACAACCTTGTGGAAACCGCTGAGACAGCAAGCCAGAGTAAAGCAGGAGGTCTGCAAACATCAGTAAGGGGCTGTGAGAAAAATCAGGATGGAACCCAATTAACTACTGCCTCCGCACACGTGGGAGCCAAAATGCAAGTGCCTAAAGAATTGAAAGCTGGAGCTACCACTGCTCTCCAGAGTGGCCAGAACAAGCACCTGAGTGAATTTATGAGACTATGGGGTTATTGGAAAACTATGGAAGCAGCATTTGGCCCTCAGCCCAGACAGCAAGGGCCTAAAAATACAGCTGGAATTAGCTTCCAGCAACAGCAGCAGGCCCAGGATGAGGAATGTATTATCCCCAGTGAGATGTGCCTTGGGTCTGGCCTCCTTTCACCATGCACCATGGGGCTTTCCAAAAATAAAAAAGGTTTTCCTGCAATGGAAAAGGCAGGTTGTGCATTCCAGTGCATTGAGAAGTTCCTACACATCCCTTTGCTCTCTTTTGCATCAACAGAAATGTTTGCTGGGTGGAAGAGAAGGAACTGTCAGGGTCTTCCTCATTTCACCCATCGGGACAGCCCAGACGAGACTGCCTGCATTCAAGGAGCATGGCAGAGAGCAGAGGGTGAGCAAGAGGACAGTATGTCACCAGTCACTTTTGGGTGCCCTGCTCTTTCAGCTGGCTCAGGTACACCCTGCAGAAGGGACCTCTCGCTGGGAGCAGCATTACACGAGGCACAAGAGGTTCACCCATCACACCTTCTAGCTGAGCACCCCAGACCTACAAATATGAATTATTCATCACAACTGCAGATGCTTCCAGCACCAAATTCTCCCTTAAAATGTCGACCCCAGAAATATATCAAGAGTAGGGCACAGGGCCATAAGCAAATACAGAGATTCAAAAAGTATTTTGGAGTATGGGATCCAGCTGTAAACAGGACATTTCATCACTCCTTTATTCCAAATCTAGTCAGGAACACAGCTTTTTGACAAAGCTGGTTTTGAAGATGTCCCTGCACACAGCTGTCCCAAGACATGGAGGCAAGACCTTACTTACTAACTCCTAGAACCAGACCTTCACCCCAGCTGCCTTCTGCTCTGAGGACCTCAGTGTCTCCATCTCTACCCTCTGACTGCACAAAACATCCGTGATGGATTTTAACTAGCAATTTATGACAGTACCCAACTGCTAGTGAGACCCCTGACTCCTCACTGAGTGTGAGCCCCATAAGAAGACCCTTCCCTCTCTGTTCAAGCTCTCCACAACTTGACACCATTACAGAAGTCCCCCTTGGGTGTCCCCAGACTCCCAAAGAGACTATTTTCCAAAAAGCTTCAAGAATAATGCTCCAAGTAATGCTTACTTTCTGTGCCACAAAGCCAGCACACACCACAGGTTTCAGCTCAGGAGCCAGCATGGGACAGCTCAGCTGAGCACATTTGGAAATGGAAACTGTTTGCACTGTGACGGGATGCAAGCAGATGTGATGGCAATCAGGAAAGTCACCGCTGGATGTGAAAATGCAAAGAGAGGAGCAAAATGCTAAGGACAGCTGCACCCTGGACATGGGCACCTGCATTGGGAAGAGCTGGGGAACAAATTCCTAATACGATGGCAGCCAGAAACACCATCCCCTTCCGAGGCTGGGGCACGCAGGCGCCGGGAACCGGTGCTCGGCTGGGCAAACACAGATGCAGGCGCTGAGTGGGAGCACAGTCAGCCCAAACTATTTTTAACTGACGCAGAGGAAGCTTTTACTTTTCGTTATGAAAGGGAGAAAAAGTGTTTGTCAGTTGTGCTGAATTTATTCACTCAAGGGGTGGGTGTTGAAGTATGTAAAGCCCCCAGCCCCAGTCCGTGCAACCAGAAGCTCTAATCCCCCCCTGGTCTGCTCACAGCTGCATGGGGTCAAAGAGCGCAACAGCTGAAATGCACTTTTGATACATATGCTTTTGGTTGCCCCAACTTACCCTGGAGGTTTCTGCCTTAGTGATTTCCATTAAAGCTAACCAGCAAGATTCACTGCTGACGTAAATGAGCACCAACCCATCAAGATCCCCTACATTTAGCTCCACACTGCTAAATAAACAGTGCAGAGGCATCACAAGTAGATACTGGGAGTTGGGTCTGGTGGTCCCCCAATGCCACTTTGCTCCCCAGAGCAAAATCTGTGGATTTGGCACCAGCAGTGCCTTTACTTGCCAAATACATTGTTTGGGGCACTGGGGAGCCTGCGGGCTGGCAGGGAGGAGGCCGGGCTGTGACCAGGGCTCTCTGCCTCCCCCTTCTTGTCCAAGCAGCGTTATGGCTCTGCAACCTAATTGTGAGACGATTCATTTTCTCTTAAACATCAATTACTCCTGTTGTCCCCAAATATATCTTTGAACATCACTGTTCTCCACACACCCCCCCCTAAATACCGGCGGTGAGAAAACACTCACTCACAGGGCATCCCAAGGAGCAGGGCTGTGTCACTCGCCAGACGGCCACACAGCAGCTCAAACTCTGTACACTGGTGGTCAGCCAGCTGGTGAAGGGAGAGGGCCCAGCCAGCCACCGAGCTGCCTCCATCCATCTCCCAAACAAGCCACTAGTGCCTCTGCTGCTGTACATAAATACTGTGCTTTGAATGAATCCACAGGAGATGCAAGCAATAACACGTGTCCTGTCCATCCTGACCTAAAGAGACACTTAAAATGTTCTCGGCTACCAGTGGAAACCACCAGCCTCATAAAACAAAGTTTATCACCAAAACAGCTCTCCAAGTTCCATTTTTGCAAATGTATATGCACATCCAGAACATACGCACACATAACTGTGGGTTGCTCCTCTTTGACAAGGAAGCATTTATTAAAATCCTGCATTTACTACATACACTACAGCTCCATGATGGGCTCAGAAGCCACTAACAATGGGCATCATTGGACTTTCCATACTAAAAATGTACTTTCTTAAGGGAGGATCGCCTAGAGGATGAACTACTTGCTGCAGCCTCCCTTGAGAGAAGAAAGAGGCATTTCATTCAGCTTGTTGAGAAGTAGGTGCTGGCGTCCTTCAGACAAACCATGCCCTCATCACTCAGATGAAACATGTCCTCAACAGCCTATTTTTCCCCAGCTGCCACAAAGACATCTTGGGGTGACCAGTTCAGTAGATGTTTATGCTGTTATGTGGAGGTAAGTAAGAATAATCCCTTACAGTCTGTCACCGTCCAGGCACTGCTCTCGCTACATGAGATGAACACAGAAGTGAAAAACCAAAGCTCCGCTCCTGAACGCTTCACCTGAAGTTAAAGTATGGGTTCTAGAGACAGCAGACCCAGAAACAACCTAGGTGGAGTAGGAGAGGATTGCAAGCTGTGCTGATTTCCAACCTATTGCTCATGAACAGGTTGATACTGAGCTTTGCTCAGGTCTGCGGAAAGCTAAAGAGCTAACACAGAGGTCAGCTTTGAAAACAGTGTTTAACATCTCCCCACCAGTGTGTTACATTGCCAGTGACACCACCAAAGGACCAGGAAAATCAAGGACTTGGTGTTCTGCATTCTTATATATTTATGTTTGAGAAAGACATGGGAATGCCAGTGCCCACTTAGAAAACAAGCACTGGAGAGAAAATAAATCCCTTACCCGGTTGTCCTCTTGAATCTCCCAGTCACTGGAGAAGCTCAACACATGCTGTGCCTGAGAGCAGTTAGAAAACTGGAAAAGGCTGGCAAACATCCTTCTGTTCTCCTGGGTGTCCGGGAAAATAGCCTCCTGGAAGTTGACTCCGTGCGGCAGGAGGATGTAGTTCTCATCCATTCTGAAACACAAATTGCCCGGGCAGCCTGCTGTGAAGCTGAACAGCACTTTCCCTCCCACAGAAGTCACCCGTCGTCCTGCAGCCTGGCTCAAGAAGTGACACCAAAGCTACACAGACAGACTTTTAGCCGGCACATGGCTCTCAGCTCTCCTGGCACTTGATTGCCAGGGTGGCAATTTCCACCACAGACTGGACCAAGCAGCAGCAGTAAGGACCTAACAGGCTCTTACTACCCTACAGGCATCAGTGAACCCCATAAATGAGGCAAATCTCTGTTTTGGCCCATGGTTCCTACTGAATTTGCATCGCCTTGCCCTTGATCCCAGAGTTTAAGTACTCCTTCAAGCAGTCAATAAATAACTTGTATAAAATGTGTTTAAAGACACTGCCACAGACCGAGCACTAGACAGCATCAAACCATGTTTCGTTACTCACCCAGTGTAAGAATACACCAAGTATTTAGAAACAAGCCACTGAGTAGTATTTCGCAAACGCTCTTGGATTGAAAGGTCACTGCGATGGCTCTGTTCCCACATTGTGGTTTATTTTCTTATTCTTTCGATGAGCTCAAAGTCAGGATTTGGCTGGGACTTGGGAGAGCCGAGAGAAATCTATCGGGTGAGTATGCGGGGATGGGTTCTAAACTCCCATGCCAAACTTTGGCGAACTCATCCTGCCGTAAAAACAAAAGCAGCAAGTGCCCAGGAGCTACTCGACAGCAGCTCCCCGTACATCTGCTGCCGGGCAAAGTTGGGATATTATGGGTTTGTTGTAGTTTTTTTCTTTTTCTTTTTCTTTTTTTTTTTTTTTTTTTTTTTCCGATGCAGCTGTGGGTGGACACGCAAAGGAGAAGGTGCTGCGGGACAGAGCGAACCCTCCCGGGCAGGGGCGGCTGCGGAGACTCCCCGGAGGAAGGATGCTGATCCCCGGCCCCCCCCTCCCCCGACCCCCCCATCCTTGGACTCACCGGAGGAAGAAGAAATAAGAGTAGCCCTGCATGACGGTGTGCGAGTGGCAGGAGAAGTAGCCGAGGCCGGTGAGGTTGAGGCGGGAGCCGGCGGGCACCTCCAGCATGCTGCCCCACGCCTGGTCGCACAGCAGCTCGATCTCGGCCGAATAAAAGAGCCCCCCCGCCCCTTGCTGGGGGCCGGCGGGGGGGCCCCTCTGCCAGGGCAGGTAGTTGTAGGCACCGTAGGGGTCGGGGTGCAGCGCCAGCACCCGCGCGTAGACGATGATCGCCGCCAGCTCGGCTCGGCAGCCCTCGCTGAGCGGTCGCCACTCGGCCGGCAACTGGCAGCCCCCCCCGCCGCCCACTCGCCCCCCCAGCCCCAGCCCCAGCACCAGCAGCGGCAGCAGCCGCGGAGGAGGCGGCATCGCGGGCGGCTCGGCGGAAGGGGGGGGGCGGGGGGGGGGTGGTTAAGGGGGGCGCTGGAGGCGGCGGGGTTGTGGCGGGGGGGGGACGGTCTGGAGCCGCTGCGGGCTGCCCCGGGGGCTACGGGGAGGGGTGGAGGGAGAAGGGGGAGGACTGGGGGAGAGGTGCGAAAGGGCCGGGGTGGAGAAGGCAAGGATGAAGCAAGGAGATGCGGAGGGGTAGGAAAGCGAAAGGGAGGGGGTGCAAAGGGGCGGGAGGGGGGGGGGAGAGGAGGGGAAGCGGAGGGGGCCAGGAGGGAGATACCCAAAGGGCCGAGATCCAAGCAGGGAGGGGTGCAAAGGGGCAAAAGGGTCGAGGGGCAGAGGGTGCACAGGGGCAGAGATGCGAGGAGCAGAGATGCGAAGGGGAGGGATGGGAAAAGGCAGAGATGCGAGGAGCAGAGGCAAAGGGGAGGGATGTAAATGAGAGAGGTGCAAAGGGGGAGGTGAAAAGGGAGGGATGCAAAGGGGAGGGATGCAAAGGGAGAGTTGCAAAGAGGAGGAATGTAAAGGGAAGAGGTGGACAGGACAGAGAGTGCAAAGAGGCAAGATGTGAAAGAGCAGAGCTGCGAAGAGCAAGCGCACCCCGGGGAGAGGGAAGGTGCTGCCAGGCATCCCCCGGGCCCGAGGTGGGCACTAGCGGCACCCAGGGCTTTGGGAGGTGAAGGGGTGGCTCACAGGGTACTGGAAGTGCAAGGGTGCCAGTGAAGCAGGGAAAGAAGAGCCTGGAAAAGTGAAGATGGGGGGGGGGGGGGCGGGGGGAGCTTGTAACCCTGGTCACCCACTTCTCCCACTTCAAATGCGGATGGAGAAAAACTTGCAAGTGGAGGAGATCAGCTCTTCCTAGCAGCCTGCAATGTTTTTTCAAAATACATGTGGTGGGCAAGGTAAAAATAAAAAGCCAGGTCTCAATATATTTTCGTTTCCCACTGTTTCCTCCTTGAACTGGCTGAGGCAGCTTCAGGCTCCTCCAGCTTTTTGGCAGATGGCTCGGAGACTGACCCTCTACCCGCATAGGAACCACTGTGGAGCTTCTCCCGAGGATCCCCAGGGGCCCCACACCACTCACAGCCTGAAATAGCCTCTTTCTATTTCAGTATTCTCCTTTTCCCACATCTGATCTCACTGGGGGTAATAGAGTCAGGAATGGGCATGGAATGTTTAAAAACTTTTGTAAGAATATGAATATAACAGAGACATGGTCCCAGTTAAATCTCTCCCTAGATGTGATGGTTGCTAAAAGTTTGACAGCATGTCCTGGCTAGTTCCTTTTAATCTCATCCTCCGTCTGTCTGTCTGTCTCTATCTGCCTCTCCAGTCCCCTACAAGGACTAGAAGCTCTTGGGAGCAGAAGGTGCCTTTTTGCTCCATGTTTGTGCTGTGCCCAGTATAGGGGGTCCTCATGCATGACTGGTGTTCAAAATAATGTGCAAATAATGAATCATCAGTCAAATAATGCTGAGCCAGCTTCATGACAGTGAGACAAGACTTCTTCTGTGACAAGCATCTCCCTCTGGAATAGTTTCATCAGACTCAACTGTGTGCTGAAGAGTTTAACAAAGGTAATATTCATATTTCATAATGGCATGGTCCTACAATGTGTTTCATTATAGCTTTACATGAGAACAGAAACGTTGGTTCTTGTTAAAACAGAAAGAGATTTTGATTTTTTTTTCCCTAACAAAAACTCCAGAATGGCAGATAGAGCCTTTCTAGCATGTTTTTATAAGCTATCTTTTGAAGATCAACAAATTGCTTCCAACTTTCAGGAAAAAGGCTTAAAAGACAATCCTGAAAAGGATTTTTTGAAGAAAACATCCTCAGGAAATCCCAACAGACCAACAAGCTCAATATTTTTTTAATGTTAACCATCAGGAAAAACTGGTTTTGATTTGGAAACTGAAGGGATTAAACTGTGGTAGAGAAGATTTCAGAGCCTCATTCCATAGTTTTTCAATACAGAAATAAGAATTAAGGGGAAAAACAAAGAATTGAGGCTGATGTTGACTTCAGACAAAGCTGGAGCAGTTCTGGGGACAATCCAGTGTACATGGAGGCCTTGGTACAAGTGTCAGGTTTCTGTTGAGAAATGGTATTTTGAGATGTTGGTAAAGACATGGGTGTCATGTAAAAATGTGAAGAGAAGTGCTGCAAGTGATGGGAGAGATGTTCAGCCCATGCAAGGTAGTGTCTCCATGTCTCTCCATGGTCTTTCCAGGTGGTACAACTGGCATCAGAGCCTGACAGCTTCAGCAACGTGAATCCATGAATCTCATGTTGGGTGTGGGCAGCAACATACAGATGTTTTATAACTCCAGTGCCACTGCTGAGAAGGTAGAGCCCCAAGAAGCTGATGGGATATTTGTAAGTTGGTTGGTTTTGTCCTGGGAACCAAATTCTTAGCTTGTGCGAAACATAATTGCTGTTTCTTCTGTGCATAGATACAAGATTGATAACTTCTGGGTAGAAGAGCCTCATATTTATGCTTCATCTGTTTACTGTGTGTTGCAAGTGAATAAGGGTCAACTGTCTTCAAACCACTTTGGAAAATCTCATCTAAGCTGTGATCTGTTCTGCTATTCCTCACATTTCGTTTAGGCACCACATAGGAGCTGAGAAGGACAGGGTGAGAAAGGGAAGGACAAGGGCAGCTCACACACAAAATATGGATGTGTCTTTCCTTACTGCTACTATTAATAGTCTACATTAAACTGCTTATATTTGATCAGAGTGTTTGGATCAGTGCGCCATCCCAGGAAACACAACAGCATTTGCTGGCACACGCTGGCACTGGCTGATGCTCTCCAGTTTGCTTTTTGGTGGTGATTACCAGTGTGGAAGCAAGCAACCAGTGTTCTGTGGAGTTTTGCTATCATTCTGCAGAGTGTTTTGAGGATACAGTGGGAGGCCATGGAGGTGACTTCAGAGCTGAATGAGCTGAAAGGAGGTCTTTGCCATAGCTTTGGAGCAGACACAGTAGGTATACAAGTCTGCACATAAAAATACCTCTCACTTGAAGGTTCCTAATTTCCTTGTTCTCCTCCATTTATGTTTGCTGGTGCTGTGCTCAGTGCCATTGTAAAGGCTCAGGGTGACTCATCTTCCATGCCTTCTATGAGATGTTCCTATCTGAGACCTCTCCCTGTCAGGAGGCTCCCTGGAGATTCATCAGTGTGTAACCTTTCCTTCCCATCCCCACAAGCTGATTCCTCAGGCTATTTGGTGTTTGAGTTCATTAGCAACTTTCACATCAGTAATTTAATAAAGAACTAGAACCACCTACATTCAGATCCCATTGATTAATGCCATTTTGCTCTTAAATTTCTCTCCACAGAAGAACCGTCCATTTTCTCTGTTCTTTTATTTCCACGGTAGTGAAAAGTAGCAAGAGCAACTGAATCCATTCCAGGAGTCCTCTCCTCCAGGTCTGGATAACAAGGAATTAGTGACATGTAGTAAGGATTTAGAAACCCTCCCTGGAGACCGCATCCTTCAGATCTGTGTTTGCTGTTTCTCTGCAGGGATCCATCGGCTGATCTGAGGTGTTCTTCAGTGCAGCGTGAATACTTTTCTGCTGTGAACTCAGCATGGGTCTGACAAGTGTTGTAGCCAAAACCAGCTAATCAGAGGAACACCAATAGATCCAATTACTGCTCAGGCTGTGCTTTCAGCCACTCATGCATGTGCTGCAGTTACTCATTCACTTCTGCTTAGTCTTGTAGACTTTGAGACAGGCTTGTGGTTTTCCCAGGCAGGAGCTCTTCCTTTTCTTCCACACATCTTTACAGATATTTAAACCAAAGGTTTCTCCCTCTGGGCTGTGCTCGTTTCTTTGTTGTTTCTGTAGTGATGCAGGTGATTTAAGCCTTTTAATAAAACATAGCTCTGCTTTGTCTCACTCTTTGCCTTTAAAGTATTGACAGAGTTGAGCATTAGCCTAGGTATCAAACAAGAGAGCACCGTGCTCGAAGTCTGGCTGCCTTTCTGATGGGTGTAGGTGATCTGAAACCTCAGCCCAGCTGTCTTTTATTTATATATCTGCAGTGATTCCTTTGTAGTCCAGGGTACAAAATATCAAACCCAGACTTCTTTCCCCCTACTCACCCCTCTTTAAACTGGGAAACCTACAAAGATGAATATTTGGCTGTGTTAGTGTCCCCATAGGACAAGATGTTTTCATTAGCTTCTTCTGTCTATGCTTCTCTATTTTGAGTCATTCTTTTCATAGTTGGACATTTGGTCCATCATATTTAACTATTTTTGTACTAATGTTTGGGCTGCATGATTCCTATTTTTAAAAAATCATACTCCCTGGCCAAAGTTCCCTGTAGTTCTTTATGTTTCTTTCTTTTGAAGAGTAATCATGACCATAAAGAAACAGGATCTGTCTTTGGAGATCAGCTGGGAGTACACTACTGTCTCAAGAGTTTGCAAAGATTTACTTTATGCACAGCAGTAAAAACACTTTCCATAATATCATTTAGAATTTGAATGGAAAAGTGAGTAAAAGGATCAAAGAGTTGGTATGGATGGAGATCTTTGTCTATACCTCCATTATATCTTTGTCGATCCCTTTGGCCTTTACTGTTCCCCACTATCTTCTCCATCCTGCCCTCTCTGTGCCCACAGGGTCCTGCTCTCCTCTTCCTCTGCCCCAACCTCTGACAAATCTCACCAATTTAAAAAGAAGTTTCCTTTGGATATGGACCTCTATCCTGTTAGCTCTGTCCCCCTACCCAAACTCCCATCTCATCCTGGCTCCCTGACATCTGGGGACATCTGGCCCTCATCCCAGACCCATTGTTGCCGTTACTCTCATTCCAATTGACCCATTCTCCCTTTCTCAATCACTGGCACTATGACCTCCTCTTTCCCATCACTTGGGCTTACAACTTGGATGTCATCTTCACCCTAGACTTTCCTCTATATTCTCAAGGTTGTGTAGACACTTTCCCTGTAGCTTCTCACAGAAACACCTTTCCTACTGTTCACACAATGAAGATGCTGTGCAGGCTCTTTCCTCTCATGTCTTGAGTCCTGCAGCATTTCTTCCTGGGCAGACACAGCCTTGGCCCATCACTGTCTATCCAACTTGTTGCTACACACACTGTTTTTCTAGCTCACCACTACTGATCCACCATGCATCTTTTCCTTGGGTTCCCTTGCCTACCCACATCTACCCCTTTCTTCATGCCAGGCTCTTGCAGAAGAGCTCTGAGGCAAGGATCTGCTTGGCTCTGCGTTTCTGCAGCATCTGGTTCACGAGCCATGACTGCAGGTCCAAGAATAAGAATAGTAACAACATGCAAGCTGATTCCAGCCCAAGTCAGTGGAGGCCAGAAGTCACTGCACTCAGAAGGCTGTTCATAAATCAGCGTGAAATGTGCTGTCTGAGCGTAGCTCCCAGTT